AAATTATAATTAGTAAATAAAAATGTAAATCGAGTCGTCGACGCACGAATCTCTCAGGTATGGCGTGCTTCTCTCTTTCGAATTCGACTCGCCATTATTACTATTATTATTTTTATTTTTTTCTTCCTTTGCTCTTTGGTTGGGTTCTCTTGTCCGAAGGATGCGGAAGGAAGAAGAAGAAGGAAGAAGGAAGAAGAAGAGAAGGTGAAAGGGAGTTTTTTTCTGGCACGTGCACCGCACGTGAAGCGTGTGTTGCTACTCCCCTTTTTTAATTAAAGGGCATGTTTGACAATTTTTACGTTACTTTTTCTTTTTAATTAAGTTCACTCACATGGATCTACATATATATATATATATATATCTGTGTCTCGTCGTTTTCATAATTAACAACAACTAATAATTAGGAAAAATTAGGCTAACGAATCGTATAACTATTTTTGATAAGGATTGAATCATATAAAAATTCAAAAAGCGTGTTTGATAAGAAGAAAAGGAAAAAACGGTGGTGGTGGTGGAGTTGGAGGTGGGGGGTGGGGTCAAAATGTGCTGATAATAAAGAAGAGAATGATTTTGTATTGAGATAATATTGTAAGATGACAGCCAATGTCTGCTCTGTAACTCTTCTAATGCACGTCTCTGGTCGTGAGTTGAGAAGACCCAACATAAGCAACAACAACAAAAAAAAAAAACATAAGACAACTCATTGTGTCAAAACATTGATCATGAAAATCTGTTAACTATGCACACAGATAGATAGGCCCATCTCATGTTGAGATGATGAGATCTCATTTACATAGGTGAAGTGAAACCTTGTGGCCAGGGGCTGATTACTCGGCCCGTTAACATGTAGAGATATGCGGTAATTGACTCACGCGACCATTTTTTAACAAAAGTACCGTCTTAATTAGCTTTACGTATGTGGTGATTTTTGTAACTCATACTATATAGTAAGTTGGTAGTTCTCTCTCTTTACCAATACAATGCTCAAAATGTTATTTCAAAATCAAATGTAAAACAAGATTTATAGGATCTAATCATAGTTAATTGATTAGCGAAATAATTGGCTTTGTTGTAGTTGACAAGCTTTCATAAACTGTTTTTGTAATCTAGAAGACAACTATGATTCCATTTGGGTTTTATATATGCTTTAAATGACATCAAATATCTTGGTTAATTTCTAAATTCGTGTTATATATTAGTTTGGATTCAGTCGAAGATCTACCCTAATTTTTGTGGAAAAAAATATATATACGACAAACAATGTTTTAGTCGTTTTAGACATGAGTAATAGGATTTTTATCTGATTATCTCCCTTTGCTTCTTTATGTGTTTTGTGGTTTGAAATGCTGCTAAAGTCATATGGCGTGAAACTAGTTTTTTACCGTCGTAAGGAAAACACAGTATATAATTAAAAAAGAGCTCGTAAATTTTTGTGGACAATCTCATCTTCTATAGACTCAGCTGTGCATGGTATATAAATAGTCAAATAGTCCACGTAGTAATTCATATCGTAGTCATACATATGGCTTCAGTGGTGGTCGTCTTTATTAAGAGTTTTCTCAGGTGGACTTTGTTGGTTTCTCTGTTTGGCTATTGCTTGAAACTATTCCAGAGCACACGCACGCACGCACGCACATACGACACACGCACATATATTATAAAAACAAGAGCATCATCTTCATACATAAATTGTTGTTGTATGAAAACGACACAACTCAGGTGATATATGGAGTTTGAATGGTACCGCCGTGACCAAATATCTTTTTTCTTTTTTTTTTTGGTGCTAGCTAAATGCATAAAAGAACGTACGTACTGTATATATATACTCATTTATAAATTCGTATTCTATAGTCAGTAACATATATATGGATAAGTTTCTTGTTGACCATTTTGAGTTACCGTGACGTATAACGAAGGGACGGCTCTACGGATGAGATAGGGCTGCCTGGCAGCTGTTGGTCATTTATTAATTGGTTTTTACTTGAGATTTGCTATCTTTCAAATTGTAAAATCTTTCCCTCGCTCACTGCCGCTTTGAATCCACAATATAACCAAAAATATTGTAATTTGCTCAATCAGTTTGGCAGTTAAAGAAACAGCTATTTCTATAGGAAGACTGGCACAAAAGAAGAAAAGATATCAAAATATACTGGCTGCGATTTTTTGCCTTGCATGTTTTGAAAATTATGATTCTTTTCTAGTTCTACTTTCTTCAACTTAAAGTTTCCGTTAAGTTTATAAATAGTGATGATGCCAATGTCATTCAATATCCATAACTTGCCTATATATGTGGTCAAATCTTATAACTAAAATCTGAATCTATTCGAATCCCATGGGAAATATACACAAGAAGATATAGGCCAAAACATATTTGGTCACTTGTGTAGTTAGTTTTCTCTTATTTTTCTTACTATCTATCTATCATCACATCATTTAAAAAAAAATCCGTATTTGACTTAATTAGATATATAATTAATCCGGAAAAGAAAACCTAATCAATATAGTGAGAGTTTGACTTCACTATGAATATTTTTTTCTACGGTTTAATTAGCCTCACATCCTTATGAAACTTACTGTCGTTGGGGTTTCCTATCCCCTAATTCACTCAATTAAAAAATTATATAGTACTATGAGGTTATTTGAACACATTATTTGAATATAATTATGTTCCCTTCTGTGTTGAAGTTAACTAAATTAAAGCAGCATTTTTCGTTTGTTTGTTTTCGTAAGTACTTACTATTCTTACAAATTAAAGCGCACATAATTTCTCCCTGAGTGGACTCACTTCAAGTATAGGTTTTCTTATTGTTCGGCCTCGCTTCTTTGATCATCAATTGTTTGGGTGACTCTCTAGAGTGCTTTTATATCATTAGTTTCTTTCGATAGTTCATTTCCCTATACATCAAGGCATAATTCACACATAAACTGTTAATTAGACAGTTAATTACTCAGTACTAAAGTGTTAGTTACAACAAACTGTTTTTGCTAGGAAAACCAAACTTCAAAAAAAAAAAAACATTAATTGCATGATTGAGCTTAACGTTAACTGCGTGAAAAGAAAAGAAAAACTTACAATAAAAAGGAAAAGAACGATATGTCAAATATATGCTACCAAAAAAAATTTGTAACTTTTGACTTTGTTGAGAGAAGCATCTAATCTCTGCATTTTTAACAAATTTTTTTTTGTTGTCATCAGAGACATTTTTAACAATTTCTAATCCAAATATTAAATTTTCGTAAAACTATCGTCTCTATTTATTTTTAGTTACATTGGTTAAATAAATTATACGTTGTTGATTATGATACACGATTACACAAAATAAAATGCATTTAACCCTAACTAATTGCGTTTCTTTTCAAATTCTGATTTTTCTAAATTTAGATTGCACCAGTTCGTATTACTTTTGTTTGCTATGCACAACAATACATAAATTTCTCATTATAAACTAGCTAATTACAGATTTTATATTAAATTTTGTACTCACTTTTATTATTTTTATTATATTATTTAATTAGATTAACCTTGTTTGCGACAATACAATAAAAGTTAGTATCTAAAACCTATTAATTTTATGTTTTCATATCTAAATGTTCTCAAACTTTCAATTGATTAATCTTGTTTGCAACAATACAATATAAAAGTTAGTATCTAAATGTGATATGATTGTTTTAATTATTATGTTTCAATAGATTAACTTTGTTTTCGATACACGCCAAGAAAATAAAAATTAGTATCTAACACCTATTAATTACATTTTTCATGTCTATATAAAATCATAATTCACCATTTATTATATAATTTATGTTATTTAAATAGATTAACCTTGTTTGCGATACACGACAAAATAATAAATATTAGTATCTAACACATATTAATTATAATTTTCATATCTAATTGTTCTCACAATTATAATTCACTATTTCATAATTTAATTACGTTTTAACTAGATTAACCTTGTCTGCGATACACGACAAGACAATAATAATGTTAAGTAAATATTTACTAAATATATATATACAAAGTATCATTTAAATGTATTTACCTATTTACGGCACACGACAAGACTATATTTTTCATTTAACAATAATTAATTACACTTTTCTACATTTGATTTTTCTTATACATATCATTCAACATTATTATATTTACTACACATTTTAATAAATTAATCTTAACTGCGATACACGACAAAACAATAATAATGTTAATTAAATATTTACTAAATATTTAAAGTATCATTTAAATGAAACAAACTTATTTACGATACACGACAAATACAACAAAGTTACATTTAATATTGGCTAATTACATTTGATTTGTATTGTAGATACGCGCAATTGTATAATTAAAAAAAGTTTTATTTGACTAATCTTTTTTATTTTACATTTTAAATTTATAATTATTAAAAATAGTTTCACTATAATTAATAAAATTTAATTGAAAGCAAGCAATTAACATACATTACAATGTTAAAATGTGTTATTGTCTTGTACTTTTTAATGAAATTATATATGATGTATTACTTTATTTCTTAAGATGAATATATACATATTTCATATGATTAGAAAATATGACTTTCGAAACAAAAATTGGGATCCATTTTTATATTTTTGGGTAATATGTTATTACATTTGGAGCGTAAATCTAGGAATTTTGTAAGAGGCAAAAAAGAAAAACACCAAAGTAAAGAAACACAAAACTTAAAATAAGTAAAAAAAGAAATAAAAAACAAAAACGAAACGACACGTCATCGATCCTCGTCAGGACCATTGATAAAAAACAATCTACGGCCAGATTTAATAGTAATCTCTTTCGTCATTTTGCAATCTCTCTCTCTCTACTCCTCCGCCTCCTTCTCTCTCCAACCTAACTATATTTATTTCTCTCACAATTTTTTTATTTTCACAAAACCAAAAACCAAAAAATATCAAAAGAGCTCAGAGCAAAAAAAAAAAAAAAAAAAAAAAAAACCCTAAATCTAAATCTCACCTTCCTCTGTTTTTTTTTTTTTTTTTTTTTAACTGTGTATCTTCTTCTTCTTAGCTCTTTGGCTGAAAGAAAGAAAAAAATCAATCCATGGATCCATCTCTTTCCATTTCCTGTGATTCTCATCACCATCCTCCACAGTTCACCCCTTTCCCTCCTTTTCCCGCCTCAAACCCTTTTGGCTCCGGCGGCGCCGCTGCTATTAATCCTTTGGGACCTAATCCTTATCACCCAAACAACCATATCTTCCAACCGCAGCCGCAAACGCAAACGCAAAATCCCCAACCGCCGATGATTCCCCATCCTTCCCTCAACCACCCTCCTTACTCTGAAGTATGTTGTAATCTTTAAAAGTCTCTTTCTTTAACTCAAATTAAGTTTTTTTTTTTTTTGCTGATTGTTTGGTTTTTTTTTTTTTTTTTTCTTGTTTGTTGTTGTTAAGTATGGCGCTCGCGATTTGCGGCGTTAAATGAACCCGACGGTTCGAGCAAGATGGCAATTTCGAGATACATCGAGAGATGCTACACCGGTTTACTCCCTTCTGCTCATCCTGCTTTGTTGACTCACAATCTCAAGACTTTGAAGAGCAGTGGCGTTCTTGCTATGGTTAAGAAATCTTACAAATTCGCTGTTTCCTCTTCTCCTCCTGAGAGTGTTGCTGTTGCTGCCGCTGCCGCCGCTCAAGGTCTCGATGTTCCCAGATCTGATATTCTCAACTCCGGCTATGATCCCAGGGCTGTCTCTGCTTCCGGTTCTGCTTCTCAGCCTCTCAAACGAGGTCGTGGTCGTCCTCCCAAACCTAAACCTGAAGCTCAACCACAACCACTGCAAGCCATCAGTGGTCAGTCTAACGGGCAGCCAAGCTGGCAACAACAGCAATCCGGATCACCTGTCCCGAGACCGACCGAAGCATCTCCGGTTCCGGTTACTGAGTCGGCTAAGAGAGGACCTGGTCGCCCAAGGAAGAACGGAGCTGCTGCTTCTGCTGGACCAATCGTTCAGGCTTCGGTTATGGCTGGAATCATGAAACGTAGAGGGAGACCACCCGGTCGTAGAGCTGCTGGGAGACAGAGGAAACCCAAGTCCGTCTCTGCTACTGCTTCTGTGTATCCGTATGTTGCTAATGGTGCTAGACGCAGGGGAAGGCCTAGGAGAGTTGTTGACCCTAGCAGCGTCGTTGCCGTTGCTCCAGCAGGAGGTGAAATTGGGGCGGCTGTTGCGCCAGGGATGAAGCGTGGACGAGGACGACCACCCAAGATTGGTGGTGTCATCAGTAGGCTTATGAAGCCTAAGAGAGGACGAGGACGTCCCGTTGGTAGACCCAGAAAGGTACTTTTTCACAATCCCAATTCTGTATTTATGATCTTCAAATTTCGAGGTTAGTGTTACTGTGTATGATTTGATCACTGCTCCGCCGTCAATATAGAAAGATAAAGCTTGATACTTGTGTTGCAATCATTGTGGAATTAAGTCAATGTCACTTTCCGCTTTTGAGCACCGTCTGTTTTCGAGTATCCCATATCTGACTAGTATCCTCTGTGCGTTTTTATTATATTCGTGTCCCTCACCTTTTGGCTTATCCTTATCTGGTCTTTTGGATAATTAAAGACCAAGTGGTCGGTGATGTCTCGCTTTAGATTGTAATAATTTTATCAATTAGTGTGAACTAATCTGGCTTTATGGTTTCTAAGTCGTAACGTAGTCTTGATCTCTGTATATTCTTTATTAAGTAGTAACGTGTTCACTTGATTTAAAGTTTAAGACTTTCTTGATTTAACCATTAGTGTCTATCTTAAATTTGACATATCTAACATTATTTCTGCTTATGAACCTAGATTGCAACATCAGTCACCACTGGGACACAAGATTCTGGAGAACTCAAGAAAAAGCTTGATGTTTTTGTAAGTCTTGTTGATCTTAAACGTTTTTGTTGTTTGTTTTTTTGATTCGTTTTTGGATTTAAAATTCCTCATTCTGCTTTCTTACGTTTGGTTTTGGTCTCTAAATGATTCAGCAAGAGAAAGTAAAAGAAATCGTGAAGGTCTTGAAAGATGGAGTTACTAGTGACAATCCTGCAGTTGTGCAAGCCATAAAAGATCTGGAAGGACTAACAGTGATGGAGACGGTTGAGCCACAAGCCATGGATGATGTGCAGCCACAGCCAATGGAAACTGCAGCACCACACACTGAATCTCAAATTGAAGCTGCTGAAACTCAAGGAGAACAGGAACAGGGACAAGAAAGAGATGAAGGGGAAGCACAGACCCAGACCCAGACCCAGATCCAGACAGAAGCAGAGGCGATGCAAGAAGCACTGTTCTGAAGAATAATGATAAATAAATCAACCTAGACATAATAGCCTTGGTGTTTGGCATTAGGAGGAGTGTTTTCTTTCTAGTTATTTAGGAGTTTGGGATCTTATTATCATAAATTAAAAAAAAAAAAATCTATAAGGAATTTTAATTTTTTGTAGGTTTTGTTGTCTGCAGAGACAAAAACAAAAGACTAGTTAATGGTGTTTTCATCGGTGTGTCTTTAACCAAAAAACATTAAGACGTGGCTGTAAATTAGCGATGTTTCTTTCTTATGCCTCTCCTCTCCCTTTGGTTTTTCAATCCGTCTTCTACTTTGCTTGTGATTTGCTAATCTTAGTACTGTCGTTAGTATTTAACTGCTGGCTCAAAAGCTATTCACCCGGAAACTTATTAGAGGTAAGGCATTTGATATGTTGACTTTGACAAAGTTAGCAATCACATTTACTTCTTTTTTATGTGTTTCAAAACTTGGATTAATTGTAACTCTGCGTGTTCAACCTCAAGTTTTGTACTTCTACTAGTTTGACGATATATAATTGAGTTTTTGTTGAAAGAAAAATAATCATAAGCATTTAGAAAAGGCCATAACAATTTCGTTCGCGCATGTCTTTTATGTTAATAGAGTAATTTTGGCATCTTCAAACATCTCATTACTTGCTTAAATGGTTAATTAAATTTTATATCTAAAAGAAAGATATGAATTTTCTCTTTAAAAAAAGTAGAGTTATTAGTATTTGATTTTGTTATTAGTATTTGAAAAGTAAAATACACATCATTATGAAATAAATTTATAATGAAAAAAAAAATATTTTTATAGATTTCATCAATAATTTCAACGTGAATACGTGACACATAGAAAAAATGTAAAGCTCAAAAAGAAAATACAGTTGAAAAAGTATCTAGTTTAGTTATTATTTTGATTACACTGTTTAAATCGGTTTTCTTTTAACGATTTCATAAATAGATTCAATATGACACAGAACAATTTTATTCTTAAAAAGGAAAAATACATGCAACTGATAAAGATAAAATTTTCAATTAGTTCATCATTTAATTTGTATTTTTTGATATAGTAAGGCATTTAATATTATGATAATACCGTTTAAATAGATTGTTGTGATATATGATATGTTTTTGTTTTACATAATTGAGTTGTCCAAAAACTGTTTTTGTGATACATAGATCGTTTTGGTTTCCGACCAAAAAAAAGATTGTTTGGGTTTCCGACCAAAAAAAAGATTGTTTTGGTTTTGCATAAGCGAGTATCCTCTGTTTTGGTTTGCATAAGCGAGTCGTCCAAAAAGGATAATCGAGTTTGTGATGGTTCACGCACACTACTTAGTAGTCACTAGTCAGTGGCATCGTAGTGTATTAGGAATAATTCTTGGGTTCACCCCTAGGGGTGAACCTATCTTATTCACCCCCTCTAAGCTAACCAATCAAAATTAGCCATGTCATCTAATTAAATAAATTAAAATAATTTATCTTATTAATTACAAACTTTAAATTCTAACCACTATATTATTAACCTAAACTTAAATATAATTTAGTTTATTTATAAAATCTAAACCCTAAAGTACTAATTTATGAACCCAAACCAAAATATAAACTTGTTTAATTACAAAATCTAAACCCTAACCACTATTTTGTCAACCCAAACCAAAATATAATTTCGTTTCATTACAAAATCTAATCCCTAACCACTATTTTATCAACCCAAACCGAAATATAATTTTGTTTATTTAGAAAATATAAACCGTAACCACTATTTATAAATCCAAACCAAAAAATAAATTCATCTATTTATAAAATCTAAACCCTAACCATTATTTTATAAACCCAAACCAAATAAAATTTCCTAAATAAAAATTCTACAGAATTTGTTTCCTTAATTTGTTTTATTTTATGATTTTAATTTTGATTTATTTTTTAAATAAAAAATGACATGGCACATTATTATATTTTGATTGGTTAGCTTAGAGGGGGTGAATGAGATGGGGTGAACCCAAGAATTTTTCGTGTATTAGTGTATAGAATAAAATAAATAAAATCATATCCAGTCCATACAGAAGAAGAGACAAAGGCCTAAAAAGGAATGAGTCAACGGCCCATTTGACCAGCGGGTAATGAGTAAATGATTATCCCCTTCTCTCTCTTCCCTCTAAAACATTTTGATATTCTTCGAAAGCAGATCACATTTTTTTGTTTAGGGTTCTTCGCCGAACCACTTTCGCTACTTGCTGGATCTCTGAAGGTGTAAAAGCGCCATGGAGAATGGGAAAAGAGACAGAGAAGACATGGAAGTGAACGACATACCGAGGAAGCCTCGTGTGTTACTCGCTGCTAGTGGAAGTGTTGCTGCTATCAAATTCGGCAATCTCTGTCACTGTTTCACCGAGTGGGCAGAAGTGAGAGCCGTCGTTTCCAAATCATCTCTGCATTTTCTCGATAAACTTTCCCTCCCCCAAGAAGTTACTCTGTACACTGATGAAGATGAATGGTCAAGCTGGAGCAAGATCGGTGATCCAGTCCTTCACATCGAGCTTAGACGTTGGGCTGATGTTTTGGTTATTGCTCCTTTGTCTGCTAACACTTTAGGCAAGGTAAAACAAAACATCTATAACCTACTAGTCCACTACTTAGCTTCAATTGTGTGAATTGTTGAAACAGTAATGGTGGATTCATACGATCTTTCTTTTCTTACCTTTATAGATTGCTGGTGGGCTCTGTGATAATCTTTTGACTTGCATTATACGAGCTTGGGACTATAGCAAACCACTGTTTGTCGCACCAGCTATGAATACTTTCATGTGGAACAATCCTTTCACTGAAAGGCATCTGTTGTCGCTTGATGAACTGGGAATCACACTTATTCCTCCTATCAAGAAGAGACTGGCCTGCGGAGACTACGGTAATGGCGCTATGGCTGAGCCCTCTCTTATCTATTCCACTGTCAGACTCTTCTGGGAGTCGCAGGCTCATCAGCAAAGTGGTGGAACTAGTTAAACCATGATTTCCACATGCATTTTGTTGATATCCTCTGTTTTCACTATCTTAGATAATAGATTTTATCTGTCTGTATGCTTTTCTTGTATATCTTAAAAGTAGATGTCTGGATCTATGTGTCTGGAGGACCTTTTGCACTCTGTTGCTGTAGAATTATTTATGTTTCTTCCCTTGCTCTTAAGTGTTGTCTTCAATTCTGTTGATTAATCCACCTTTCTGAGTCTCACTGAGCTTCTGAATTTGCCAGCATAAAAACTGATAGTGAAACAAACAAAGCCACTTCTTTATTCTCACACAGCATTGGTAAATTCAATTCTCAGATTAGCAGTCAGCCTTTTACGTGACTCAGTGATCATGATATCAGAAGCCAAGTTTGCTTGAGCACCAAAACATTAAGTTTGCTTTCGAGGATGCATAGTTTAAAATTAACCATCTCCTTCCAGAGTTAGAGGCGTAGAATCATGTAGTTTATCGATTATCCGCCATGTCACAGCATCCGGAGCCTGACCATTCTTCCTCATCTCCTCCAAAATCCGGTACGCTTCTCTCTTCAACCCACTTCTGCTACACTCATCAATCACAGTGTTATAGCACACAACATTAGGGCTTGCTCCCGAATCAGCCAGGTCATATAGGAAATGGCAAGCATCACTTAGATAACCAGACCGACAAAGCCCTTTCAGAAATGCTGCATACACAAACGCATCATGTCTGCCTGATGGCCATATCACATCATCCCAGAACTTCTTCGCCATATCCACCTGACTAGTTACGAACAATCCGTCAATGATTATAGCATATGTAGTACTATCTGCAGTCACACTCGCTTTTTCCAGCTGACCAAACACACACATAGCTTCATCTCCCTTATGGAGCTTAAACAAACCACGTATAACAGCATTGTATGTAACAACACCTGGCTTAATCTTGTTCTCTGGCATAACTTGATTCAACAAGTCCAGAGCTTCTTCTGCTCTTCCTTGAGTGAGCAAGCCACACATAACACTAGTTAAAGTCACAGCATCTGGTGCACAGAACTTCCCTGTCATCATATCTCCTAGAACCTGCATGGCGTCATCCACCCTACCCATCTTGCAAAATCCATTAATTACTGTGTTGAGTGTATACTCATCAGGCCTACAATCTCCCTGAAGCATACTGACTAGTACGTTCAGGATCTCACTCGGATTATCCATCACGCAGAGAGCTCGTAGATAGATATTATAGATTCTAGTTCTATCTATTCCTTCTTTCCTCAACATCAGCTCTAGAACATTCCTTGCTTTACCCGTATCAAGTTCCTTGCATAGACTCTCCACTAGGAGCTTATAAGTATACTCAGACGGAATAAACCCAAATTCAGATCCCTCTTCTAGCAACTGATAAGCCCTCATAGAACCACCATCCTTGCACAAACCATGAATTATAGCATTGTATGACGTTCTTCTCGGTTTTAACCCTTTACTCTTCATTATATAAACAATCCTCGCAGCTCCATGATTTCTCCTGTATCGACACAAGGAATCTATCATATGCCCGTAAGCAAATTCAACGTTCACGGACTCACATTGTGGCATATTCTCTGCAATCTCAAAAATGTCATTGAAATACCCATCCCTGCACATAGAATCTACGAGATTTGCAAAGGCTGCTGATTTCATGGATACATCCGTCTCATTCTTCATGTATTCCCAGAGTTCCTTCATCAGCTTCCGTCCTGTTTCAATATCTCTCATTTTCAAAAACCCACCAACAAGAACACTCATTGTGAGAGAATTAGGCCTAATGCCACACGCACGCATTTCGTCGAGCACTTTATGAGCAACTTCAAGTTCTCGAATCATACAGTAACCACCGATCAAAGTGGTGTAAGTGACAACATTTGGGAGATGTCCCCTGTTCCTCATATCGAATACAAGATTATGCGCATCGATTACCCTATGAATCAAACACAACTGATTGATCAAACGGTTGTAATTTGTCAACGATGGCACGAACTCCCTCTTAATACCGATCAAACGGTGAATAACTCCCAACGTAGTCACCGGAGATACCGAGTCTAGCAATCTCGCAACGATGACGTTGCAGGTTCTCTCATCTGGGATAAAACCCGAAGCAACGAAGAGGAGACACCGACGGTGAGCTTCGTCGAATCTCCCGGCGTCACAAAGAGCGTGGATCACACTGCTCAGGTTAAGCGAATCAGGACGATAACCGCGAAGGCAGAGGCCGTCTATAATCCGAAGAGCTTCGTCTGGATTCTGATGTACGGCGCAGATACTGTGTATACGTCTTCTCCAGTAAGCTCTATCGGTGACGCTACGTCGACGATCTTCAGCTTCTATCGCATCATCTTCTCCTTCGCTGTGTATTTGAGCTTCGAAATGATCAGGTACCACTACGGAGGTAGATGAGAAAGAGAGGGGTTTAATAGAGAAGAAGAAGCCATTTCCTCTGGCTCGCAGTCGAAGGCGAGTGACGAAGATCATAACTTTCCGTAGCGAACTCACTCTGTTTCTCACACTTTTTATATAAAAAAAAAAACAATTATTAGCATATGCTTTTTAGTTATCGCTAGATGGGCTTTCATTGGACCCAAAAGTTTGGCTTTGTAAACCCAATCCAATAAATGTTTGGATACTTGGGAAAAACTAAAGATTGTAGATTGTTAATATAAGTAAATGTAAACTATTTTAACTGCACTACGAATTTCCAGTTATATATATCTAAACTTTATTTTCATTTCTGCTAAACAAAAATTATTAATCAATTTTTTTTTAAAGACTTAAGTCTTTTGTTAAATGAATAACTCAAAGTGTCATAGGCTATAGTTGACTATGTAAATTGTAATATGTGTGTGAGTTAATAAAAATATCTAGCTTGGAAAATATCTCTGTTAAAGAGAGAAATGTAATGATTCATACGTGCGTGCGAATTCACGTATGATGATAACTAGGTTGCTTCGGAACAAGTAATACAAGAGTTTGATGAAAGCTAAGAATATTTTTTTAAATGCTAAGTTGAAAAGCCAAGAATTGTTTAACAGTTTTGATTACATGAATGAGTTATGTAGAGATACACAATCATTTGTAAGCCAATCAAATTTGTAGAAACTACATAACAGAGCTCTTTCGTTGACACATGCACGCATCCCTTATACTTATATATTCATCGATTCTAGTATATACGATTTAACGACAAAAAGTAAAAGTAAAAACTCACATCGTTATTCATTAAATATGATATTGTATCTCTACAACCTAGAAAAATATATATAAAACTATTGTAACATAGATTCATCATCACATAAACATAAAAACAACTAAGTAAGAAAAAAGAAGAAAGGGAATGTTAATTAAAAGAAAAAAAAATTATAAAAGAAGGAGAAAAAGCAGAAAAGGATTAATAATAATAACAATGGGGGGGGGGGGGCTTGGGAAAAGACAGAAAAGGTGGGGAGGGGATTTAAGATCCCAAAGAGAAGAAAAGGGTTTTATGGAAAAGAGAGACAAAGGAGATGAGGTGAAAGAAGAGTGTAAAAGGAAGCCTCCATGGAGGGGCAGTTGAGCA